CTACTACTACTACTACTACTACTACTACTACTACTACTACTACTACTCGCAGGTTGCTTTTTCAAGCAGCCAAACAAATGGTCCACCAAACCATACCGAACCAACCATGCTTGTGGGTTTTCCAGCTTCACCCAGCATCCTTGGATGGTGTTGGGGCAACCGGTGTGTCCGACCTTTTTCACGAGAAAACACAGAAAAGCACCGACTGGAGCCAAGTTCTCCAGGGCTCCAGTCGTACCCAAGGTACGACTTGAGCGCCAGCGTTTTATTTCATGGGTGCTGCGAGGTGTTTCTGGTGCTCATGGTGTTCGCTTGGCTCATGGATGGGTGTTCGCTTGGGCCTGCGGAAGTCCCAGAGCCAAGGCAAATGGCCATCCCGCATCAAAATACACTCACTGGAATAATAGTGGATGTGGAAAATTGCCCCTCGGATGGCCCCGTTTTCCTCTACAAACAAAGGGCTTTCCACTTCCATTTATCATCTCAGGGACTGCAAATCAACATCATCCAGCCCCAAAAAGAGCTGTCAAAGGTCCAGAAACTCCCACTTCTTCCCCAGATCCAATCAGCCACAGCGGGGAGCTCTTGAACAGCGGGGGCGAACAAACACCGTTTCGATCCCTGGAAAAGGGTTCGGTGAACCCAATTTTCCGGTGGAAGTTTCTGGGGAGTCCCAATCCCAGAAAAGCGAAGTGGCAGGTTACATTAACTTTTCTTGAGTAGGACTGCGTCAATCAAAAAAGGATGAGAAAGTCTTGGGATGTCTTGTTTTAGCAAGGACTTGGGCTTGAAGATCCCGAATTCAGTCCACCATCTGAGCGCGCCCCGCCTCTCTTAGGGAACGCATAGTAGCTGACGTCATGCCGGACTGGCTTCAGTCAGGACTTTAACCATAGCTTTCGTATTTCGGCCTTGACACACAGAAGCGGCCCCCGATGGGTCCCAAAGGGTGTGTTTTCTGCGAAGTTCTCTGTGCTACGTGGTACAGGTAACCCTGCTGTGCCCATCCCAAAGAGTCTATTTTTGTTGTGCGTTTCAAGAGTCACTTCTGGGAGACACATGTAAAAGATTAAACAAAAGGTCGGCAGTGAGAGGCGGCCACAGTAGCAAGGAGGACACAGTTGAAAGCATTGAGAATCCCAAGAGTAAACCGAATATGAATAGCTGTAAATTCATCAAGTCGTCAAGTGAAAGTATTAAATGAAAACAGAAGACTAAGATCTTCGGAAAGAGTGAGAAGAAAAGGGAACCAGGGGTCACAAGTACGGGGTGGTGAGAAGGGTCCCATCCAGTGAGTGGATGTGACAGGGGCACCCCTAACCTCCAAGTTCGGCACCCCGTCTTGTGACTCCACGGGATCATCGTCCAAGCGTCCACCACCTCTCGATCGTCCAGCTTCTTCCCATCCTCTCGGCGAAGAAGAACGATGCGACGAACGTCGCTGTTGCACAACGGTGCGCGGCGAACGGCACAGAAGCACCGTGGGCCGGTTGAAGAAAATAACAAACATGTCAAAAACCGGGCATTCACTCAGGGATTATTACCCGGATTATACTGTTTTGATTTGTTTTGAACATGTAAACCCTAAGGGAATTCTGCTGCGCAAGGATCTTCAGTTTCTCACTAACACTTTTCATATCGTTTCATCATGGGACACTTGTCTGGCCAGGGGTCCCCAAATGGGTTGCTCCACATAAAAAGCATCGCAAGACGATCCTTGAGATATGAGGTATTCATGGAACATCAAGCTCTGTGATGTTCAATCTTTCACAAGGAGTTATTACGTTCATCTACCACTCAAATCCTCTATGCTCGGCTCCCTGCATCAGTCCAACCCATTGAGAACATCTGAAAAGAACAGAACAAAGTGAGAACAGCCTCCAAAAGCATCTGTTCCACCAAGGCTCAATGTATAAAATTCTCTGGAAGATCTCCGCATTCTGCTGTCGTCCCTTGACATCCGGCGGTTCCGGGGGATATCGGTGGCCCAGCTTGATGGGGATGATGCGCAAGTTGTTCTCGAAGGCGTACCTCTTTCGGCCAGACGAAGCCACCGGAGCGGCGGATGTGGGGATCTACTGGGCCGAACGGCGGAGACGAGTGTGTGTGAAGAAGCCGTGGAGGATCGAATGGTGGCTATAGTGATCAGAATGAGGGTGGATGAACCAGAATCCATGGCCCAGGAAATACTAAACCCAGGTTATATACTTAAGGACATCTATACGGACTAAGGTTTATTCTCCTTTACAGGGTGTCTTTAGAAGGACACTATACAAGGTCGTGGGAGCGACTCATCTCGGGGTGGGGACACCCGTGGAGAATCTGGATCGGTCTGGTGACCCACAGTCATCTGCGGGAAGGGAAGAGAGTCAGTCGGGTCAGTTAGCAGAAACGATCTGCGGTCATGCCTCCGATGGGTGGATCCAACCTCACCTCCGACGTGGTGGAGCCGTGGACTCGGCCGAAGCCGCCATGTCTTGGTCTAAAATGACGCCTTGGAGCTCCCCGAGCGTCGAAGATTCCGGTCTTTTGATGTTCGACATCTACCACTCCCTGGCTCCCATTGGGTGACCCAAGAAGCTTAAGCTCTCCAAAAGAGTCGAAGCCCAAGCCGGTGCATTCGCCATAATCTTCGAAGCAAAAGGCCACCAAGGCCTGGTGTCCAGGGAAAACCGAACGCCAAGGCCTTCTGATGGAAGAAGTTGACATCCTGCAGTACCAACCCAAACACTCCATGTATGGCATATGCCTATATTGACCCCCCTGAAACCCAACTGATCTTCAAATACGGCAGTCCCATGGGTCGTGTCTGGGCGCCTTCTTTTGAAGGCTCACCGAAGACTGCGACACCCAAGGTTTGACGAAAAAGCCGTCTGACTCAAGCCGTTGAAGCAACTCGGTCACGTCATGCCTGTTGGGCCAGTTAAGTGAAGTATCGCTCCTTTCTTAGACGCCCGCCCCTTACGTATATGGTCCAAATGGATCCAAATGGTAATTTATATTAACCCCTAGTTGTGGGAGGTTCCAAGAGGGAATCCAGCCACGGTGTGTCCCTCATGTGTCAAGTCTTTGGTGTTCAAAACGTACTTCCTTGGGTTGTGCAGTCTAGAATTAACACGTCATCAGATAACACAACAACGAGACAGACTTGGATTTGGATTCAGGGCTCGAGGAATCCTTGAAGGTGGACGTGATGAATTTCTTGGGCTCCCAGCTCTGACTTTTCTGCGGAGCCTTTCACCCCTATGTTCGGAACAGAACCCACGATTCGCCCATATCTCTCCAAGTCGAGGGGTGGCTGCCAGCTCTTTTGAGCGAAAACCCAAATCAAAACCCAAAACAACCAGGTGCGAAACCACTGGGTCACCCGGCTGGACAACCCTACCGGTATACCGGTCTCCTACTCTAGGGCACCCATCTAAGAACCCACACGCCGGTAGACCGGCGACGTCGCGACGTCGCACCCCCCATACCCCCATACTCCGAGTCGACACACGGCCCGACCGCGGAGTTGGCCAAGCCGTGCATGGGCAGCTCTCCGCGATCCTCACTGGGCGACACGAAGGTGGGAATCCCGCTGGCGTCCAGCAGGTCCTGTGCGTGGTACGTCCCAGGTCCAACGAGAAGGTAGGTCCAGCGGGGGGGAAGTGGTGAAGTGGAGGTGGTGGAGGTTGAGTGGGTTGGAGTGGTGGAAAGTGTCGGCCCAACCCATTTGTTTTTCCCTTGTGGGTTGAGTGGGCGGATTTGGAACGAAAACGAGAGAACGAACTAGATATGAGTCAGTGGGGTCCATTCTTCTTTAAGGTTGACCACATAAAGATTCTGAAACCAGAAACCAGAACCCAGGGTCCCTACACCTCCTGGCCCATATCCTGTCACCCACCCTAGTCCCACCTTCTCAGGTAGTTGGAGCCCTAGGGGAAATACCCTATGGATGTATCGAGGTCCGGTGCCCGGTGGATCGGACAGGCCGGTGGTGGAGAGGAGATACTCTCCCCAAATCAAACGTTAGTCGACAGATGCTGAAAGGGCACAAGTGGTGTCTGTGAGGAGGATATGTTAGCAAGAGTCCGCAGGGATAAGTATTCCAAATTTTCCAAAATGGAAACGGCCATGTTAGTGGATGCCGGGGACCATTGACAAGTTTCATGACTCTGAACTGGCACAAGTGGTGTCTGGGACGAGCATATGTTAGCAACTAGGAGAAACATTGAAAAACAATGTCCACGATGGACAAAATGTCCATGACCTGATTTTCAGGGTGAGATGTGAAGTGGTATATGTTTGGCGGATGTAGCTTCCTCGTTGGATTCATAGGCATGGGGTATGAAGTCTGATGTTTTTATTGTTTTCTTGTACCATGGGACTGCTAACATGTCCATGTGTTCACATGTCTGCCAAGATACACACCTATGCCAATTCAAAACCTATCAAAAAATCAGAGTCGAAACCTATCCAAAATCTATATGTTCATCGTTAATATCAATATCCCTCAAAGAAGCAAGATGTTGGAAGCTCTAGACTTCAGATGGTTGGAAGCTCTAGACTTCAGATGGTTGGAAGCTCTAGACTTCAGATGGTTGGGTTTTGAAGAACAACTGTTCACATGCACCAGGAGCATGGCTATCATGGGTCTCATTCACTGTATTCATTTGAGGGTGGCCATGTTACTCTGTTTCGGCACGTGCAAAGACTCACATAGCCCTCCAAAAGGGGCATTGATTCTTTCAGAATGGCAAAATTCCTAGCCGCAAGGACTAACATAGCCCCCTAAAATGGTCATGCGGTTGACCAAAATTGCTATATTCATGGTTGCCCCAGGCCAGGTTAAACGGTTAGCCGTGTTTCTGGACCTTTGAAGCTACCGCAAAGCAACAGTTACATGCAATTCCCCAGGAAACACCGGAGAGGTTTGGGATATGTTAGATTGGGTCCTCACTGCATTGGGTCCATACGTTTGGGGAGTGTGTGGGGGACCGGTTTTCGGGTCCCACGAACTCCGGTGAGAACGTGAACGCCATAGGACTGCTGCCCCAGAAAGACCCCCAAACATGGCCCACTTTAATGTAGGTAAATATACCAGTCCCATGGAGTGTCTAGTGGAACATAGCTTTGACATTCAGTTTGCTCTGTGGGGCCTTTGTGTTTTGCGATGGTTGTGTGGCTTGAAGTAGGACTGACTATAAACATTAGATTCTATTGAAGTCTAGAACTGAGTCTAAATGTTCTGCGATCTGTGTGCTCGCTTTGGAGCCACTTTAAAGGGGCACTGAACGATTTGCTGTGGTAGACCATTCAGAAAAAGCTGATGTACAACAAACACACTCGCTGAAATATACAATCATGGATGTGGACAATTTTCCCTGGAAATACCCTTTCTCTACAAACTCCTCATATTGGTTGGAGGGAGGGTATAAAAATCCACCAACCATCAAACCCAACCCAAAAGCCCAAACACGAAAGCACACACGTCCGCGACACCTGAGTCGGTCCACAGCAGTGTGCGGACAAACCAACCGGTCATCCAGGCGATACCAGGCGGTGGGAGGCGCCGGTCCTTGAGGCGTTGGATGTACCAAAACTTGTGATCCGAGTTAAAGCGCCCCGAGAGGTACAGGTGCCTCCGCTGTCCCGCCGCGTCCTGCGCAGGCGGTGCAGGAGGTGCGACAGGATGAAATATGGTGAAAGGATGAAAACACTCATGCACCCATACTGATCACGCAAATGGGTTAGTTGAAATCTGCATCATATCTCAAAGGCATGGAATTCACGCAGAGCTGGAATTTGGGCGAAAAAACATTCAATTCTATGGGGCACATCATGAAGATTCCCTTCGACTGCATGCTGTATACAGTGACGGCAAAATATCCAATAGTACAACTCATATTACTTCTTGTCCGCAACACCAGGTAGTGGCTAACTTCTACGTCTACTGTCTGCACAAGGGACGACCAGCCTTGGGTTATCCATCTTAGTACTGCTGTAAGAACCAAATGGAAGACTCCCCAAAAGATCAACATGACCCAGCAATGCCTCTCTTCCTCTGCACATGGTCTTCCGATGTCTTCACTTGGTGGGTGCAGTTCACTGGTGGAATTCACTAATAGGCAGCAACGAGCAGGGAGTTCCCTCAGGGCTGGTGGTGTTGAGTCCCATCCGGATGTGGATGTGACTCATGGGAACCCTTTAACGGCCCCTGACAGAACGACTAGTTCCTTTCATGGAGAACACCCCTGAGAACTCCATGGAACTGCTGCTTCAGTGCACGATCCAGCAGTGCTTTGCCTCGCTTCTTCTTCTATCCGCGTCGTAGCGCGTCGTAGCGCGTGCCCCCCCAAAAGAAACACATGCAAAACACGGATCCCACACAGAAAGGTGACCTTGGCTGGGAACCCCCCCCAGATGTGACCTTGATACGCTCCCATAACTCTACTCCCCTTCGAAGCTAAGTTGTGCGGGCATCCCTTCCAAAGGAAAAGGGTCTTCCGGAGCCCTATGTTCCATTTCCATGATTGTTTCAGGAAGTGCAATCAACCTGCATGGCAGCAATTCTGGTCTTTAAAGTTTTTCATCCCTTCGTCGCTCGTCATGTCATTCGTCCTCGGGCATGCCCTGGGAGTCTTGGGAGAACTTCAGCCAAATCCGCTGCAGCTCATCCGACACATCATACCTCAGCGCAACGACGCAAGCGGACGATCGGGGGTGCCTCATGGTGTGGGTTCATGTGGGGAGCTCTGGGATGGAAGCGACTACCCTTTGCTTAAACATGACACCTGCCACTGATTGCATGGAACATGAGTCTCCTTTAAAAGAAATGGTCTACCAGTTTCCATGCAAGAGTCCATTTGTGGCATAGTATCATCAACTCGGCCTTCTCAATGCTTGATGCGTTAATCATCAGCTGTTCACAAGGAGCACAGTCAAAACTGAAAAAAAATACATGGTATTTCAAACAGAAATGGACACATTCGTCTAAGCACAAAGAACATGTAGGGTTTGGGCAAGCACCAACAGGGGGTTGGACCATATTTCTGGAATGGTCCACAGTCAATCAACCTGTGTAACCACACATGGCAGTTCAGGATTTCGTCAAGAGTAACCCATTGGTGTGTCCTGCACACTGTGTCCCCACACGATCCAAAGCCTCAACAGGGAGCATTAAGAAAAAGGCTGCGCTCAAAAGACATGAGGTGATCTTCATCCTCAAGGCCCTTAAGACACACCTGCCTCGGCACCGGCCGGGAGCTGCGCTGGTGTTTTCAACTGAGGCAGTTCACACGTCGTCGTGTTTCACACCCTCCTTCGTCTCCGACCGTCGACCGTGAGTCCCCGACCGTGAGACGACCGGTGGCCCAAGGGACTCATCGAGAGAGCGACCGTCGATGCTGTAGAGGGAGTCTTTGAAGACCTACCCGACGACTCACCCGACTCGGGACGACGACGACTCAGGACGTCGCGTGGCGAGCGCGGTCGAGCGCGGAGACGACGACTCGGTCGGGCAGTCCAAGGACCGGAGGCTGGAGGCGTGGAACTTGGGGGGGACCTGACCCTGATGCAGGAAGCAGTCTCTGAACAGTTCGGTCACAAAAGTGTTATTAGGGCCATATTGTATACTATTATATGTGTTTCTAGTATGGCTAACCTCTATCGCGATATGCTGTGCTCCTTTTTGTATGTGTTTCTTGCATAGTCTTGCGTCAAAAAAAAACATACGCGTGGTTGACACCAATGAGTCACCTTTCTCCCTGCCCAACCCACGGAACCGCTGAAACTCCTTCGCTGCGGCCCAGACGGCCCAGACGGCCAGACCCGGCTGAACAGATTCCGACGGTCATGTAGACCCCGATTGGTCGAATGGGGGACGAGGCCCCGGTGGGGGAGGTGTGTGAAAGAGGTGTGTTTGAGGTTCCAGTTCCGAAGGGTTTCCACGATTGGTCGAACGAGACGGCTGAGATGCTTTTTCTAAAGGTCCTGTTTGTTTCAAGGATGGAAACAAAGCCGGGCTTCCCTAATAGACTGTTCAGTTTACTGTGGAGATCAAAACAGAAAGCAACTCTGTGGTGCGCAAGTAACCGAACCAATATTTTGGATGTATTTGATCAACCATATTCATCTGTTTTGGCATCCCTGACTGTTTGTTTCCTCCACCTCGTGCGCCCACACTTGCCTCCCTCGCACTTGCTCCCGCGCCTGCGCGATGAGCTCTTTGCCGAAGGGATTGGAGATCTGCGGCGGGTAGTCCACGTGGAGCTTGATGGGGATCACCTTGAGCTTCTTCTCCTGAAAGGATCGACTTCCTCCAAAACTGCACCAGAAAACCGACCGGGCACAACCCCCCCTACCTGCGACGGGTTGTTTCGCGCGACATGCTCGCGGCAAATGGTGGATGGGTCCTGTGAGCGTGGTGGGTCACGACCCATTCCCATCTGACATTGGCTTGCTTCACAGGTTGGAAGGGTTGGATCTCCAAACTGAAAACTCTTACAACTGAAAGATGGCTTTGCCGATCCCTCTGTTTTCGACCAGTGTTTGAGAGTGTGTCTTCAATAAACAGTGCTGCCAACTGGGCAAACCATGTTTTGTAAACACAATGCATTCAAAAACACACCACACCTCCAGGGTCCTTTTCACCACACCTCAACCAATGAAGTCAGCACAACCACTTGGAGGCATGCCATGGCATGCCTTGTGTGATCTTCTTTCCCTTGAACGGGTCCACAACTACGGTTCTTGCCTAACGAATTGGACACGAGGCCCCTCTTCCTGCCCATCATGTGATGCTGAAAGAAGACACTCCGTGCTTCGAACTGGCGCCATACCAGATCTATCTGACATATTCTTAGTGCTTAAGGAACCTGAAAAAAAAGGGCGTTAATTGCTTTAACCTATAGGAATCAATGTGGAAAATACAAAATCATCTTAAGCAACACCAGGTATTCTGACATGTCTTTTCCCAAAGAACCCAGCCCCCCTTCAGCCGGGGAGTGTCCCAAAGATTCCCACTTCTGCCCGTGTTTGCCAAGTCTCAGCAATGTATTTGAGCTCTTGGTACCTCGCCATATCCGTCAATTGGAGTGCCATGACCAGTAACAAAAAGGAACTACAGTCTATCCATTGCCATGCAGTTCTACCATGTTCTACCACATGCTCTGGCCGCCACAGTAGCTCCCATCAGCTATACTGGACTGACAGTGATTGACAACAATACAGGAACATCCTAGAACTTTTTGGCTCATTCCGGGAACCACATTTGAGTGACTGAACTGCTTAGGTGACCCTTTCCCCGGCAGAACACATCCACCTCTTCCAACCCCATGCGGCGCGCGTCTCGCGTCTCGCGACGCGATAGGTCCGGAGACGCGACCGGGTCGACCGGACCGATCGGTTCCGACACGAGGTCGACACGAGGTCGATACGAGGTCGACTCTCCGTTGAGGGGCGTGAAGCCGTGTTCTGGGCTGCCGTAGTTCTCGAAGCAAAAGGCCACCACGGCCTTGGCCGCCGCCAGGCCCTCCGTCGTCACGTCCAGGTAGTCCTCGCCTCGGCAAAGCAGCGATCAGTGTGTGAAAAAAAGAACTTGTGATCGGGTTTAGAAGCCCTCAACATGTCGATACTGTATCTGTTTACGTCATTATTTCAGAATGAATGCAGGCTGCATGATATATTTAAACAAGAATGGTTGTTTGGATCTAGAAGCCCAAGGCTTTTCAATAAACACTGTTTTGATAAAGAGTGCCAGCTTGCTCGGTTTAGGGTCAGCTGTAAGCAAGTGACTGCACCAGTGCACATGGTGCGATTGTTTTTTGACTCAACTGACGATGAAGACTTCGCTTGTTTGCTTTGACCATCACTCACTACATCCAATCGTCTGCAAGCAAACGGCGACCGACAAGCTTTCCGGCCACTGTAGAATCCGGGCCCCCAAACACAAATTAGAGGGTCTTGAGGGCACTGCTGCAATGGAGAACTCCCCTCCTCTCTATGCAAAGGATCCAGCAGAACTGAGGGAGAAGGAAGCAAAACAAAACCAAAACAACACTGAACAAATTAGCCACATCTCCTACTCACCCCATCTTGCTCTTCACTATTCACACCGCTTCACTCCCTTCCAACACCACGAAAAAAAACAATCCCCAAACATCATCAAAACAAACAGTTTGCTACGGAAAACAAAAAAACAATAAATGACAATAAAACGTCGTACGTACTACGTATACCGTCTTCTTTTCGTCCACCGTCCTACGTCGTGATAGTCGTTTCGTCTCCCAACATCGTGGCATCGGCCCGAACGCCTGGCATCGGTTCGCAGCTGAAGGTTGGGATGTTGTGAGAATCCAAGAGGTTCCTCTGCCGAGTCGAAAACCGGCCACAGCGGCCGGACGGATGGCACGGTTTCTTTTTCCAGCCCAGATGAGCAAGTCCCTCCCTCCGTGACGGAGGGATGACGGACGGAGATTCCAGGTTTTGGAGGTACTTTTGGAGTGAACGCACCATCTACTCTGAACTGAGATCGTTTCACAGGTTCAGAAATGAATGTGTGCTTGAGATAGACAACAGTTCGAACTGATTGTTCATCCCTCTCTGAACCAAAAAGGTATATATATATATATACGGTATATATAATCTTAGCTACCAGAAGGCGATCAATGGCTATCAGACGGAAGACGGGAGTTAGATGGCTCGTACCGAACGGACCGGGCCGGGCCGCCGGGGCAACGTGAATGGCATGGTCCCGATTTTGGATGATCCTGTTCCCAATCCCAAACGCTCCGGACTACTGTCTTTGCCTGTATACATTTGGGGTGGTGGGTTTGGGGGTCTTTTTGGGGCGGCAGTCCGGCAGTCCCATGGAGTGTAAGGGAATACAAAACGGTGATTTTATGTGATTTTCTCCAGATGTTAGTGTCTCGGACTCATTTTGTCCGGTTTCTTGGCGTTCACCCGGTCGACCGGGTCCCTGACACCGGGAGTTACGGCACAGGCAGTATGAAGATGAAAGCGAAGAGTTATGGGCGGAGCCATCCTCCGAAGAACAGACCAACGACAGGTGGAAAAGTAGCTGTGAATGAAAACATAGAGCCACGTGTCATGTAGTGTATCGTAAAAGAAGAACTCTTTACAGCTTTGCACCCCCCCCAAAAAAAGAGGCAGCTTCAAACCCGAACCGAACCTTCTCCTCCAGAAAACTTCATACCCAGAGGCGACCCGAACGAAAGGCCCCGAACCAACTGCTACAGCTCGGTCCAAAGTCCTAGTTGTGAGGGTCAAAACTATGAGGGTCAAGCCTTTGGCTAAAGAGACTGCTTCGTCACATGGAAGGGTGTCAAGAATCACTTCACGAACCTGCATACCGGCCCAGCGCCTATTCAAAGGCTGGCTGGTCAGTGAGTGACTCTCACCAAACAAATTACGCATGCCCCATTAAAGAACGATAACAACACGTGTATGATCTATTTTTGCATGTTTGCCGCTAGAATGAAACAGTGGATCAAAACACAAAAGGATTCCCGCAGCTCTCAGCCACCTGCGCCTCAATGGAGTCCCGTTTGGGTTCCGCCGCTCCGCCCTTCATCGTTCCGTCCATATCAATTGGCCCACAGCATTGCGGCTTGGCGACACACATGTGCCTCTGATCCACAGTTGTTCAAGACCGTTCCGTCCCCCAAGGTCAATGTACCGCACACCTGGTTCTTGTTGTTCAGCTGGTTGTACTGCCAGTTGCTTGTGAGTTCGCTTGGCCACATGGAGAACCCAACCAAAACACGAAAACCTCAGCTGCATCCGAAGCTCTTCACCTTCCTCATATAGCGATAGTTGGCCTCCTCACGAGCGGCCGTTCGGATACCAGAAGAAAGACCGGTCGGGTTCTTCACAGCTTCTTGGCGATTTTGACTGTTTTGGGGAGGTCAACTTCACTTTCTTGAGAATCTGCAACACTCTGGTCTCGAGGACCATGCCACCTGGAATCTAAAAACTGTTGGATTTCAGTTGGTGTTAAGACTGGAATCATCAAGGTCAACATCAGCTCCTGCGTGAATGAGAGGAGAAATCACTCCCAAAAGTGATGTCTCGAAGCTCTCAAGTTGAGCCCACAAACCCGTCCAGGGTACAGTAAAGATCAGTATACATGCCATAAATGATGGTGAATCAACAGTCTTCCTGCAGTGAGGCCTAAGTATATATATATATATAACTAGGACATCTGTCAACCACAGGTACGGGAAATTCCTCCAAATAATCAACATGAAGGAAGGCCTTTCTTCTTGAGAGGGCAGCGCTGTGAGCGTGTATTTTCCAGTAAAATCAGCTATTGTTAGGTGTCCAGTAGAGAAACTTTGCCACATGAAATGCATACGCTCACAGTGCTGCTGTCTATTCTATGAGACTTTTTTTTTCCAGCGCGTCTTCAATGAATGAATGCTCAACTTTGCTTTAGTTTTTTTAAAATAGACTGCCCATGAAATTTATATAGTGGTTTAAAAAGATGCATCTGTTTGAAATATTTAAATTGTCTTCCATGAGCTTCTCTTATTGACTGCATACATAATGTTGAAGGAGTAAAACGTGCATGTGTCTGAAATCTTTCACTGGTCTTCCATGAGCTGCTCTGGGTAGTCTTCTGTGTTTGAGTATAGTTCATTCTGAAATTTATGAACTCATTATTTTTTTAAAATGAGTTCATTAATTTTCTGAAGTTCTCTGACTTCCTGGACTCATAAATAAAACACACAATATTTGATTACACCCAAAAGTATAAGTATTATTTTATGAATGCATATAGATTTATAAACTCAGAAAAAGTACCAAAATGTACTTAATACTAATCAAAGTAATGTTTTTTTTATTTCAATAGAACTATATATAGTTTTATATTTGATTTCTCTACTGTACATATAAATAACAAATATATATGAAGCCTTTTAGCTTGTAATATCCCGTTATTTAAGAGAGCATAAGTTCATAATTTAATGTACCTGGACCCTCCAACGACAAGAATTTTCTTAGTTGTTTTTGTTTTTGACTACATTTTGCAAGCAAAAACTTCAAACGCTACAATCGCTAAGAACGACATAGTTTCCTGGATTCTCGTAATTTACTTCAGTTTTGGTGTCCTGACTGCCAAAGGTTAAGATGGGACGCTCGACAAGAATTACCCGCAAAACGCCCGCAAATATCCCGCAAACGCTAGCAAATACCCGCAAACGCCCGCAAATCCCATTTCCTTGTCGTTCCAGTTGTTTTCTCTTTGTTTGACTGTGCCGGTAATGTTTTTACGAAACGCTAGGTGTTTTATCGAATCGACAAGAATGACATGATTTTTTGTCAAACGATGGATTTCAACAAACGACGAGAAATCTCTTTGCATTGGAGGTTCAAGGTATGATTTGGTATTTTTGGTATTGTTGGTATTTCTACTAGGTCTTTGGTATTTTTGGTATGTTTGGTATTTTTAGTATTTTTGGTATGTCCTCTAGGTCTTTGGTATGTTTTGTATGTTTGATATTTTTGGTATTTCCTCTATGTCTTTGGTATTCACATATTCTGATGTGCATAGGAAATACTTATTCTTTTTTGATTTTCCTCTGCATAAGTAACACTGAAAAATACACACGCACAGTGCTGGTTTCTGGAGACACACGCTCACAGCGCTGGTTTCTGTTCTTCTTTCAGGTTGCCGGTGCTCTTAGTCTTTATGCATCTTGATTGATTGATGCTGAGCATGGTCTGACCAGGACCAAACACGTGTTTCCCTTCGTAACAAGCAACCGCAAGTCTGTCAATCGCTTTCGACATACTGGAGTCAGTCCAAGGTGTGAAGCTCAAATAGGGAGACCTCCCAAAGACCTCCCCGGAAGTAGAAACATGGACCAAAAACCCACTGGGCAAGGGGGGCCTCCCTAATGGGATACACATCCATTGTGACGGTCTCATAAATACACGGCCGGCTGAAAGGAGTCATTGTTTGAGGCGCATGAAGAAAGCACTCTGGAGTCCTTCTTGAAGTAGCCGGACAAGTAAAGGTGCCTTCGCTGTATGTAGTGCACATCCTGCCCACAGAAGCGAATCGACTGAACTGGCCACTTTTGACGTGTTGCACAAGCAAACCAAACGAAACACAAAAATCAGCCACTCCATCGATAGAATCGTTACCTACATTGGTATGGTTTCAGTGGTCAATGTAGGTAGAATTATGATATATATTCCAGACATGGAGTGTCTGGGACATATATATGCCAGCACGTTGTACAGCTCGCGAAAGTGTTTCTGGACCCTCAAAATGGTCTCGACAGTGTGACCTCTAACACGATAGTAATATACTCCCTGATATAATCATGGAAGTGGAGTTCACTATACCTGTTTGGTCTTCGGATTTCATGGTCATTCAAAAACAGCAAAATACAGCAAAAAACATACAACCAATCCTCAATCCGCGTGACCATGATTAAAGGTCTTAGGCTCTATCTTCAGCGAGCCTTGGAAGCTCTGAAAGTTCGTCCCCTGCTGGAACAAGCATCCTCGAATCTGACATCAATAGTTCAAGAGGTTGACCCAAAAGAAGTTGAAGGTTGACTCGTTGGACCCGTGTCAAAATCGAATTGCTGAATTCATGAATCACTATGAATCCACGATGGGGGGGAGAATCTAAACACTTTCCTGCTTGAGTTTCTCAGGATGTCAGGCCATTTCATTGGATCCTGAGTTCACTCTCCAAATCAAACCCCACCCCAAAACATCCAGCAATCGCCCACAAAAGAACCTGTCATGGCCCTTCACTTTTCACTCACGCGCGTTGCAGCGACGAGGTCCCCGTCCGGTTCCGCCTCCGGGGTGTCTGTGGAACTTCTACCCGACTGGAACTTGAACCAACACTTCCGGATTTCTGCTTCCACCTGGCGCTGGCATACAAGACAAGGCTGGAAATGAGGTGACTGGCATCGCCATCAAGCAATATCACGTACGGAATCTTAATATCAACTTATATCAACTACTGAGCTAGCAGCTAGTCAAGGATGTTCCTTTGACATCCTTTGACTACAAAGTTCTTTGAGAGTCCAAACCCAAATGGCTCCCTGAAAGACCTTGAGGAAGCCATCCTGACCGAATTCATCCTCACCAATTCCGGGGGACGCCACGGAGCAAGTCGCTGCGCCCAAGCCGTTGTTCCAGTCATGCGATGACCATGTAGAGAGCTGTTTGGAACTTGGACCAAAAACACCACACGTTCCGTGTCTTTCGTTTTTCGGTCGCTCAGTGTTACTCATCATCCTCCGCCCTGAGGCCCGTGGCATCGAAACCAGCGACGATGACGCAGTCCCTTATCGGGGCGTTCGGACCCAGATCATCCACGATCCGCAGGTTCGCTGGGCACTTGAAGTCCGTCTATAGAGACTGCACGGTCAGGTCATGCGGCCACGTCAGGTCAGCGACGTGGGGGGGGGGTGGAATCCATGTCATCCCCACCTGTTCCAAGGATTTCGTCATGCCATCGATGTACACGAGACTCTCCTTACATCGACCCCACGGAGGGTTTACCGTCCGCGCGGGTTTCTAGATATGAGGGGAACAGGGCTGAACCGGGCTGAACGGTGCGGGAGCTGTCTCAAAATCTCTCAAACTCTTATGTTTTTGCAGGTTGACCTGTGTCAGGCGCTACTTGCGGGCGCTACTTGGTTGGGGCAATGAGGAGGTTCTTAGTCCATTGAAAGGGTGCTTCAGAATTGCTCGCGTATCCCAGGCATCCGCTGTTCTTCGTTAGCTCTCAGCATTTGTCTTTTAAAACCTCCTCCAATTTCCAATGCCTGGTCGGTATGATAACAAAAGTGTCCATATAGCATGCTTCATTTCTGGGGTCACGAAGCACAGCCAACAAATGAATTGCCTTGAGTGACCCCGGCTGTATTTCCTGAAGGGAACACACCTAGTCCTTGGGGCCCTTGTCCCTTGGATTTGAACATCCATGCATGTTAAGGGTTGAACCTCGAACAACTACTGTCAAATTGTTCCACTATCACTTTTAGACCATAGCGCCGTCAACCTTTCTTTCAATTGTCTGTTCAGGCTATTGGCCCTTTTAGATCCTTTTAGACTAGTGTGGATCAGTTGCCGCGGGAAGTTGTGAGAGACAATGTCTGCACTTCCTAAAGGGACCCATGGGGGGATCTTATCCTTTCAACATGAGCCACGGCCAGACCAGTACAGGATAGCTATTCCTGGCCACTTCTCACCAAGTATCTCTCAAGATCTCAGCGTTTTGCTGCGCACCTGGGCGATGAACGATCACAGTTGACACGCCTCATCGATAAAAACGGCGCGCATTCCCAAAGTGACGAGCAAACCATAGCAAACCAGCAGCCAGCAGTTTTGATAGACTGCAGAATAACATATAACCTTTAACAGCAGCGTTGAGACCTCACAACGGAAAACATCAAGACAAAGCCTTTCAACTGGTTGTCACCACTCGAGCGGAAATGACGCTGTGACTGTGTTACTTGCAACCTATCGAAAACCAACTGCAAGGCAAACCCTATAATTAAATGTGGTAAATATGCACAGTGCCATCAAGTTTTGCCGCACTTCGAACAATCACCTGTTATGTGTTGATGCCAGTTGACGCATCTCTCCTTTTTGCGCTGCCATCTTCATCCCAAGTTGGCCGGCTGGAATCAGAGCTATCCGTGCGCCATTGTCGGAAAACGGATTGTCGGCGGAGACTGTGGAGGATTTGGGAAGAAAGAGAGAGAGAGAGAGAGGGAGAGAGAGGAGACTCTTTTTGCAAGGCCGGGACCAGGAGCCCCTAGTAGCGTCCTTGCTCCTAGTAGTAAGGCCAGGAGCCCTTAGTGGCGTCCTTGTTCTTACGACTCGGAGACTCTCCAAAGAAGGACTCGTTTTGGACCAACATCAGTTGCAGGGCCAGTATTGGTGCTCTTTTTCTTCGAAAGTGGGGCACCTAGGGGTCCGTATGACCAATTATAAGACGCACTAGCCATGTGGCGTGGCCATATTTAGCTACGCATTCGAGAAAAGAACACATCACATGGAAGTGGAACACCACCACCTGGACCTCTTTGGTATTCGGGCAAGAGCCCTCCGACGGGGACTCCTACTACGACTCCTTTTGCAAGATATACGCAGTGGCAGAACTCCTAGAGAGGCCAAACTCATCTCGTGCTGCAGGCTTATGCTGGTGCCGTCCACTCAGCAACAGCTTGAGCGCCAGGCTGCTGGTGTCCTTCTCGGTATTGTGCGACACCATTGGTCTATCGACTTCACTGCAGAGCTCGGTGGTACGGGCAGCTGGGGCAGCTGCCATTTCTCGTCAAGGACAGAGACCAGATCCAGTAACACAACGTCAAAGTTTCTATTTGGAGTCCCTAACTTACCTTGGAGTCCAGGCCCAAGTGACCTCAATCCCAGGGATCAAAAGGTCACTTGGAAGAACCGGGTGATTTCAAGCATCAACACTACCTGGAAAGGAAAGAAGTCGAAAGGAGTGAAGTCGAAACCGCATTGTTCCGTGGAAACCGCATGAAGCGGCAGCTTGAGAGGAACCAATTGTTAGAGATAATCTATCGACCCAGTCACTACATGCTTATCAGGAACTGAATCCAAGCGCATCGAACTTTTTCAGCAAAACAAAGGCGTGGCTACCGGTAGAGCAAGTGTGTGCCCGGTAGCTAACGGACTTAAGAAAGTCTGTTTCGAGGTCACCATGCATTGCTGAAAATGCCCTCACTGGAAAAGGCCTGCTAATTTCGCAGGTCATCGAAGGCTCCTGTACTGGTGACCTGCAAAAAAGGATCATATAAAAGCTGGGTCCACTACTAACCGTGCGCGTTGCGGACGGCCACCAAGTCATCTGGATCAAAGTGTCACCCGAGTGTCACCCGTTCCCACAACTGAGTGAAGGAACTGCAGTGAAAGCTAAAGACTTCATCGCCTAGAAAGTCCTGGTCTGTCCGTAGAGTCACTTCTTGCAAACGCACAAGCACAGTCTGTCTGACCAATAAAGTCAATGGTGTGTGGGATAGCAATATCTAATGGTTTCAAGATGTTGCGTTACAAGTGATGGCCACAACCCTCGTTACTACACTCTCCCAGCCAGGAACCCATGCCCATGAACCGTGTGCAAAGCCCAAGTTCCGTAAGTTACACTGTGGATGAAGAATCTCCTCCCTCCACTTGGATTGAAAAACATTGAACCACCTCTTCATATCTGAATTATCCTCTTTCGTAGGCTGGAATGGGTCGTATATTGAAATAAAGCATCATTCCAGGGACTATGAGGGGGGGGTCATATGTGGAAGAGATATGAAGAGATCCCACCAGGTCACGGCGCCACCCCCCCGGTGATTCGTCGTCTCCCAAACCGGCGAAGGAGACGCAGCGAGTCCCACTCGCGGGACCCGTGCCTCCGATCACGTCGTTCCAGAATGCTTGTTTGCCTACAAGGAGCACCGCACCTCCATCAGTTGCACACCTTACCCTATGGTTGCTGCACTGTTCCAAAAGAAGGTACCCCCCGATAAAATCATAGGACCGGATAACCCCACATGTTAACAACTTCACCAGACACAGGAGCGGACAAGTGGTGGTTGGTGGGTGGCAAATGGTTGGTGGCAGTTTGTTGGTGGCAGTTTGTGGGTGGAAGTTTGTTGGTGGCAACCGGTTGATGACAATTGGTTGGTGACAATTATGAAGGCTAAATGCAGGGTGTGTGGAGAAAGGGGGGTCAGCAAAAGTCGCTTATACGAAGTTAGTGCATCAAAAATACCTTCCACGAAGTTCTGCGAAGGTTTCTGGGATTTCGTTGCAGTCAGTTCTCCTACTGGCCCACCATTCCACGAAGTGTCCACGAATAGCCTTGGGCTCTACGAATGTCCCGCGCCTTCAACGATGTTAGTAGAACAGGTTTTTGCAAAACCCTTTCTGTGCACTACCCTTCCGGTTGCACCTGAAATTAGTTGGTGGCAATTGGTTGGTGACAATTGGTTGATGACAATCGGTTGGTGACAATTGTTGCTGGCAATTGGTTGGTGGCAAGCGGGAGGCGGGAGGAGGAGAAGGAAGGAGGAGCGGATACAACACTAAAAACAAAAAACCCCACACGTCAATGTGGGAAAAAAAGCAACAAGCCGAAGCTAAATACATTCACATACAAGCACATCCCATGCCCAGAACAGACTGCCACATGTCTACCCTTGTCGTCCAGCCCAGAACATCTGAAGGGTCCCTACATGTGTACTTCTGCCGTTGGCTTCTCAGATCGGTGCTCCTGATGAGCCAGCGCGGCAGGAGGGAGCAAGCTGAGCTTGACTGAAACACGACGAGTCACGACGAACCATGGCCTACCCCCAGCCTGATTGGCAAAATATTCTAGACATGGAGTGTCTGGGCATGTTTCTTGTTATTTCACGATTGTTGGTCTTCTAGACGAGGATCAAATGATGGATGACTTGGCTTAAGAAGCACCTGAGATAGATTGAAAAGGGATCACTCATTGGCAGCCTATATGAAAACAATGCATGTCAATCATGTTTCGGTATCCTGAGATGTTTTTTTGATGATGAACTTCACTTCGTAGTGTGGAAGGCTTCTAAAACTCACTGGCCTGACCATGTCGAATTCCTAAAGCCAATGTGGCCTTTGTGATCTCTGCTTGGGGAATATCGGAGAGCATGAACATGACACAAGAGTTTTAGGGGGGAGTCCAGCTGGTCAGCATTGGTGCTGACCATTTATACTTTTGCAAAAAGGAACGGTCCAAACACCAAAAACATAGAAAGGATCGAATGACTAAGGCAAAACATATGGGACTCTGGGACTCACCAAATCAGGTGAAAATCACGTTGAAACCGTGTTTTTCTTTCCTTTTTCTGCAAAAAGTCCAAGAAGTGGATGGCACCACCTGTTTATGGAACACGGTCCAGAAGAAAAGAGGGGGCATGTTCGACTTCCTTGATTCTTCCAGGGAGTGGTCTACCCCGGGGTCTCAGTTCCTTCAGGTCCTCGGTCTCGCCCTTCGGTGACCGACTCGCCCTTCCCCCCCCCGCTGTCGATCGATCCAAAGGGCCTCTCCATGTCCGCTCTCCAGACCCACCGCCTCCGCCAACTCCTCTTTATGCTCCTGATCGCGCCGCGGTCGCTCGCCCGCGACTGGAGCAAAGATGCGACCGGAAAGAATGGGGACCAAAGCATATAGACACAAACAATAGACCAGGACTCGTAAAGGATAAATAAAACTACCCCAAGTCTCTCCACATTGATCTCCTTGCTTCAAGAACGAACTTTGTTATGCGTTTGGTCCACATGATACGTATAGTGTCGACATGTGCTGCTGATCAGTAATCCCTGGAACGGATCCCTCTCTCCTCCGCTTCTCGCAGCAAGAAGACGGCATGGCCGATGCGGGCGAAGCGCCACATGCGCGCCAAGATGAGTAGGCCGGCCCTGAGGGCGAAGGAGAAAAACAACACAGAAAAAAACCACCTGCCCCTACTCTGGAAGTGGTGCTTTTCATTGTTCGAAATCCCATGAGGTAAAAAGCGTTTGGTTCTCGCATTCGGGTCCAAAGTGTATGAGTCCGTCAAGTGCCAGGACTCGAGGGCCTAAATCATTGTCTTAAACATAACTAGTATATAAGCTATATAATACGTCTATAATTTACATATTTAATTATGGTCTCTAATCACCTTCTCAGGTTCGGTATGTGGATCCAAACGGGAAAAACATATGATATTGTTCAAAGACGAAGAGCAATGACGAGCAATGATCGATGATCCAAGCTTCAAAGGACCTGGGTTTCTTTCCCATAAATCGACCAAGGCGCCAGGCAGACATGCCTTCGTAAAACATGCTCGCAGCAGTGCCCAGCTTGGTCACCGGCGCCAAATATGCATCAGCTGGGACTTCATAATGGCCTCACTGAAATGAAGATGTGTCCAGAGGCGACCCCGAACCCGAACCAACTGCTACATGTTGGTTCAGTCCAAAACCCGGACCGCGAACTGAGGGTCAAAACCCCAACACCGCGAACTGAGGGTCAAAACCCCAACACCGCGAACTGATGATGACTCGATGTCAGCACGACTCGATGTCCATCGTCGTGCGTCGCGGTTGGTGTGCAGCCATTTCTTCTCAGATCCTATGGAACGATAAAAAGGGGTTCTGGGTACCATCACGTGAGTGCCATGAATTTCAGTCGAACGTCACCATCAATCCAGCCATAAACATGGAAACAGTTCCTCTTTCCGTACCCCTGAACA